CAAACTGAGCCCAAAAACACCAAACTGGGCCCAAAAGCACCAAACTGGGCCCAAAAACACCAAACGGGGCCCAAAAACACCAAACTGGGCCCAAAAACACCAAACTGAGCCCAAAAACAACAAACTGGGTCCAAAAACACCAAACTGGGCCCAAAAACACCAAACTGGGCCCAAAAACTTCCCGGCTGGGCACAAAGTACTGACACTTCCCCAAACACCTTTAAACTCGACCTAAATCCTTTAATCCTGACCCAAATCCTTGAACCCTGACCCAAACCCTTTAATCCCGACCCAAACCCTTTAACCCTGACCCAAACCCTTTAATCCTGACCCAAACCCTTTAACCCTGACCCAAACCCTTTAATCCTGACCCAAACCCTTTAACCCTGACCCAAACCCTTCACTCCTGACCCAAACCCTTCACTCCTGACCCAAACCCTTCAGTCCTGACCCAAACCCTTTAACCCTGACCCAAATCCTTTAACCCTGACCCAAACCCTTCACTCCTGACCCAAACCCTTCAGTCCCGACCCAAACCCCTCACTCTGACCCCGGTGCCGTTGCAGGGGAGCGGCTCCCGAAGCCCGAGCGGGGCAAGATGAGGGTGCACAAGATCAACAACGTCAACAAGGCCCTGGACTTCATCGCCAGCAAAGGCGTCAAGCTCGTCTCCATCGGCGCCGAGGGTGAGGCCCCGCCTCGGGATCCGCTGGGATCCATTGGGATTCACCGGGATCTGCTGGGGTTCACCGCCCCAGTGCAAGGGATTCGCCCCTTTGAGGCCAAAATTGGGATTTGGAGGGGTGTTAATCTCTACCCAAACCCTTTAACCTTAACTCAAACCCTGTAAACTGACTCAAACTTGACCCAAACCCTTTAACCGTGACCAAAACCCTTTAACCCTGACCCAAACCCTTTAACCCTGACCCAAAACCCTTTAAACTTGACCCAAAACCCTTTAAACTTGACCCAAAACCCTTTAACTCTGACCCAAACCCTTTAACCCTGACCCAAAACCCTTTAACCGTGACCAAAACCCTTTAAACTTGACCCAAAACCCTTTAAACTTGACCCAAAACCCTTTAACTCTGACCCAAACCCTTTAAACTTGACCCAAAACCCTTTAACCCTGACTCAAACCCTTTAACCGTGACCAAAACCCTTTAAACTTGACCCAAAACCCTTTAAC